CAAGGCAGCCTGCTTGAGATCGCAGCATCCCCTCGAGGTGCCAGATGCCCCTTCCCTAGAGCCCATGCCCGTGAGCTTGAGAGAAAACAATTTTATGATGATAGCCCGATTTTGGAGAGTCTGTCCTTGGTGCCTGCTTTTGAAGTCCACGAAAGCTGTGTGTACAGTTTTGTTTTTAGCTTTAAACTCAAGGCTTTTCCTAGAATGTACCTTCCTCCACATTCCCTGTTTTTTTTAATGTTTATTTTATTATTTTTGAGAGCGAGAGAGACAGAGTGTGAGCGGAGGAGGGGCAGAGAGAGAGGGAGACACAGAATCAAAAGCAGCTCCAGGCTCCGAGCTGTCAGCACAGAGCCCAACAGGGGCTTGAACTCAGAAACAGTGAGATCATGACCTGAGCTGAAGTCGGACACCTAGCCACCCAAGCCACCCAGGCGCCCCCCTCCATATTCCCTATTTGTAAAATACGGTCTGTTTCGAGCTCAGCAATGTTCCTCTGTGTTCCCCTCAGCCCCGTTCCCCATGGACGTGAGTACCGTGAGTCTCCTCGCTCTGGCAGGTGGAGCAGCCTCTGCCTGTTCAGTCTCCATCTTCTTTTCCCCAGCAGGAGCCCCTGACTCAGCCTCGGAAGGGGGAGGAGGTTGTGGGACGCCACCCCGACTTCAGTTCTGCCCACGTGTCCTTTCCCCCTGGTCTAAGTGCACTGCTTCCCAAACTTGATCCTGTCACAGACAATCGGTGGGGAGGATTATAAACCGTTTGCTCATTACTGTTCTGAGTTGATCATTAGAAGCTGTTGCTGAGTACTGCTGAGTACTACTGAGTACTGTTGAGTGCTGAGCTCTGTTCCTATTGCCCACTCCCGCCCCCTGCAAGGGTCTTCACTAGGTAGGCCGGGGCGCGTTCCAGTGCCTGAGAGCTCTGGAAAAGCTGGAGCAGAGGCAGAACGTGATTTCAGGAATCGGGGCTTCTTTGACTTGACGTGGGCCTCGCTGTCCTCAACGACTCAGACTCATACTGACACTTTAACTTCGTAAGGAGGTGGAAAGTTCAAATACAGCATTCCTGAATTTCTCAGCAGTTCGTGCTGGGACCTGGTGGGATGAGGGAGAGCTCACTCCTGGGCGTGCCCCTCCCTGCTGCTCAGTGCAGGCTCTGTCCTGCACGACACAGGGCCCGGGGCACACTGGAAGGGCACGTCCAGGGTCCACCCTCATCCCCTCCCACCTCACCATACCCCTCTCCAGCAAACAGGGTGCTGTAGTGTGATAGTGCTGTGGTCTGTCCTCAGCAGAATGTACCTGCAGAAAAGGCAGACCCAGGCCCAGGAAATAGGCTCTGGAAGCAGAGCAGGGGTGGGAACATCCCGTTGGCCCCGTGGATTCCTTACCCCATGGAGAGGTACAGCCAGGATGGGCTGGGAGGGTTCCTCTGGAACATGAGGCCCAAGGTGGTGGGTACACTGTTAAGGGAGCTTGGATGGAGGGAGAGAGAGAGAAACTCTTAACAGTAATAATTAGGAAACAAATCACATTCATATTATTTCTTCTGGATGTGAGAATCAGCAAGATTCTTGGACGACTTCCTTGGACGACTAGAAGGACAGAAGAAGAACTTCTTAAAGAGTAAAATCTGTTCCACTCTGAGGAGACGGTGAAGTGCATTAAAAGGCAAGTTAGCGCTTTAAGAAACGATTTAGGCTTCCTAAAGTCTGGATTTGACTTACTGTCCAATATCCTTTAAATTCAGCCTGAAGGATGCCCTTCAGTATTTCTTGTAGGGTAGGTCTAGCTGCAACAGACTTTCTCTGTTTATCCAGAGATATTTACATAGCCCATCCATTTCTGGAGGATAGTTTGGCTGGATATAGAATTCTTGATTGACGGTCTTTTAGCACTTTGAATACACACTGTCACTGCCTTCTGACTTCTGTATTTCTGATGAGAAGTCAGCTGTTAACTTTCTGGAGGGTCCCTCTCCCTCTCTGCCTTCAGGAGGATTTGAGTTTTGACAGTGTTATTCTGCTGTGTTCAAGTCTGGACATCTTTGGGTCTGAGGCCCTCCCAATATTAGAAATGAATAAAAGCTCTCTTCTAAAACATCTCTCTTTTGGTGGAAATACATTGGAGTTGTATTTTATCAAAAGTGGTATATTCCCCCTGTTTCTTATTACTTTTTAAGCCCAGTCAGGCCATAAGGTGTGGTCAGTCAGCATGAGACTCACAGGTAAGGCACAACACCCTCTTCCTGCCTGTCATGTTGGAGACTCAGCGCCCAGATCTCCCCTGTCAGCCACAGGGTGTTGCAGAGTCAGAGGACTAGGACCTTGCTTCTAGATTGGTGATAGGACAGGCTCCTTTTTGGGTGTACCTGTGGCTCAATGCTCCAAGAGGGACATTGACCAAGTGGAACGAATTGAGGAGAGGGAATGGAACGAGGCAGGAACTCCGAGCATTGGCGAAAGGCTTAAAGGAGCAGTTTCTTTGTTTAAGATTCTGGACTCAGTTGGGCGCCTGGGTGGCTCAGTCGGGTTGGGCATCCGACTTCAGCTCAAGTCACGATGTTGCAGTCCATGAGTTCGAGCCCCGTGTCGGGCTCTGGGCTGATGGCTCAGAGCCTGGAGCGTGCTTCCGATTCTGTGTCTCCCTCTCTCTCTGTCCCTCCCCCGTTCACGCTCTGTCTCTCTCTGTCTCAAAAATAAATAAACGTTAAAAAAAAATGTAAGATTCTGGACTCGGCCTTCATATTGACGTGGCTCCGTCTGTCTCATTGTCCTGAGTCTTGTCCATTCTGCCTCCAACACATCTTCAGATAACCCCATCCAGTGGAAAGGGGGCGGCTGGGGGCTGAAGGGAGACCTCTCAGCAAAACATTTTTTTAAAAAAATTTTGGTATTTGGGCCACATGGTGGTGGTGCTATTGGCAGCAGTAATGATGATATGATGATGATGATGATGATGATGATGATGAAGAAGAATTAAAGAGCCTGATCTAGTCCCCTCCCCCCGGGATGTCCCTCCCTCAGGAGAGGCCCCATCTTGCCTGGAGTCTTGCCTCCTGGCCCTGTCCACTGCACTCCCTCTCCCAGAGCATCTCAGAGTGAGCTTCCCAAGCTCTGTGTGACCCCATCTCTGCCACTTCCTGTGCCTGGGGCAGTGCTTCCTCGCCCAGGCTCCTGCTGCTGAGGGGCTCAGGACAAGAGCTTCCTGGCCAGAGAAGTTGGGGAAGTGCTATGTCCTTTCCCCATCTTTTGGAGAGTTGATGGGTAGTAGGTGATTAAAGAGCCCAAGAACCACAGTAAAGACTCTTGTTTAAATGTCCTTTTATAAAGGGATGCTTGTTACACATGCAGTGCAGAGGCTATTTTGGGAAACAGAGGCCTGTTGAATAAATTCAACACCTATAAATTTCACAATCTGGGCACAGCATGGCATTCCAGATAGATCCCCTGTCCCTGCCTGTGTGTGCTGTGAACCCTGGCTTCAGTCATCACAGATGACTTCCCTGGTTCTGGGACATTCTTTTTTATTTTTTTTATTTTTAATTTTTTTTTTTAATGTTTAGTTTTGAGAGAGAGAGAGAGAGAGAGAGAGAGAGCGAGGACGAGCGGGGGAGGGGCAGAGAAAGAGGGAGACACAGAATCCGAAGCAGGCTCCAGGCTCTGAGCCGTCAGCACAGCCTGACGAGGGCTTGAACTCATGGACTGCGAGATCATGATCTGAGCTGAAGTCAGATGCTTAACCAGCTGTGCCACCCAGGCACTCCTGGTTCTGGAACATTCTGATCTGTTCTCATTGCCGGTGAGCCCTCTCACCTTGTAAGATTGCGTTCTGCTTTCTTGGTCCACTAAAATACCTGTCCTGTGTAAAGCCTTTGCTGACTGCTCCTTGGGTAGAGTCTGAGATCTCCAGAGCATCTTATTCCAATCTGCCGGCATGATCCATCCTTGTGAAACATGCTCACAAGCCTGGGCGCCGCTTCCCCCGCGTGGGCCAGTCCCAGGTCTTTCGTGTTGGGTCCCTGTGGCTCAGGGCAATACCTACCTTCGAGGAGATGGACACCATCGTGGACCAGACCGCTTTGTCCCCTCCACTGCCCGGCCCAGCCCACCCTTCCCGGCCTCCACAAGCCCAGGGAGCCACTGGCATCGTGATGTGGTCTTGGAGAGCAGGGCTCCCCTGCCAGCTGCTGTCATTGGGCCACGGATCCACACTGCTCTCTGCTGGGACGGTGACCAACTGGGACGAAGGTTTCTAGACTCTGGACAAGACCTCTCACTTCACGGTGGCACAGTGTCGGGCCACCTGTCTGCCCCTAGCCATCTGGTCCTTCCCAGTTATCTCTGCGGGCAAAGGCGAGGAAGCCTCAGGTGGGATGGGCAGAAGCCCTGGACTGTTACCAACTGGGGTTACTTCCCCTGACGGGAACCACTACAGCTTCTCTGTGTTGGGTTCCTATTCAGTATTTAGTCAACGTTGTTTGAAAAAATTCTATTTCACGGGATGCCTGGTTGGCTCAGTCAGTTGAGCGTCCAACTCTTGACTTCGGCTCAGGTCATGATCTCACAGTATAGGAGCTCGAGCCCCGCGTCGGGCTCTGTGCTGCTGACAGTGTGGAGCCTGCTGTGAATCCTCTGTCTCCCTCTCTCTCTGCCCCTCCCCTGCTCGCACTCTATTGCTCTCTCTCAAATAAATAAACATAAAAAAATAATTCTATTTTATGAATATATAAGTTATATTTTCAGTCTCTTTGTTTTCCTTCATAGCGTGTAGGAAAGAAGAAAAATGTTTATTTGAGAACATTCTATGTAACAGGCACCGTAGGAAGTGCTCTAAATATGTTTTATCATATGTTCTGGATACTCTGTAAATGTAGATTCACCTCAGAGATAAAACATTCGTACAAGTGTGCGCCCTGTCGTTCTAAACACAGTGCTTTGTGTCAGTGGACAGACAACCGCAGCAAATTACTTCCCACGGTGTACTTTTGTGTCATCGTAGGGACATCTTAGCCACACGGAGAACTTTTAGAAGGTGCAAGCGGGAAGGCTCCGGTCTGGGTTCCAGCCATCCACGTGCCGGCGAGTGTCGTGTCCTGGACGGACGTGGGCGCCCACCTGTTCACGCTGCCGCCCGTTGTCCTCTCGCTCGGGTGACCCCCGTGTCCACTACGCCAGAGCCAGGAGGACCCCGTCCCCTCAGAGGAGCCTTCCGACCGTTGTTACCTGCCACAGCCTCCTTTCAGATGCATCGTTTGCATCATGTCAAAGTTAAAAAAAGATCCAGTGTCAGATTCCCTATGAGGTTTGAGGGCCCAGTGGCTCATGGAGCTTCGTCCGGGCTCTTCCGCCAGGCTTTCCGGTTGTTTTGTGGGTGTGTCCAGGGCTGCTTGTGCTCTTTTTTAACTAAAAGACTTATTTTTATATTTAAAATACTCTATAATCTTAACCTGGATTTTACTAAATGCTGGTATCCAATCTGTTCCGTGTAATTCCCCAACCGAAGTTGTCAGGCACAGGGCTTCCTTTATATTAAAGTGAAATTTCTTACTTCTCTCGGGTTTTCTATGCATCGTCGGGGTGTGCAGACTGGCGTCATTTTCCCTGGGTCTGAGGGCTTCCTGACACGTCCTCGTACTTAGTAGGCAAGGTCCTCTCGAAACTACTGGGTTATAGGACGACTCTGGCTCTTTGCCCTCCCAAAGCCCGAGCGGCACGGCGTCCCTGCACCCTCCGTTTTCATCGGTAACCCCCCGGCCGTGTTCTGTGCCGGTGCCCACCCCAGCACTGACATTCGAAAGAGCCGGTCTGCAGTCCCGTGTGTGGTCGTGGAGGGACTTGGTGTTGCACAGAAGGGCAGAAGACTGGGCGTTGGGAGGAGACGAGGCCAGTACCCGTGGTGACGTGGCTTACCCAGAATCTCAGGCGCACCGCTGTGTCACGGGGAAGAGATCAGACTGTTCTGCCCCCGGCGGCTTGGAGGTCACCAGTCATTCAGCCCTGGGTCAGGGCACATACCTGGCCTGAGACGAGACCGCAGTCCTCACCAGGCAGCCAGGGCTGAGAGCCGTGAGGCTGAGATTTGTGGCCTTAGAATACGTGCTTCTGAGGACCTTCCTCACACTCCTCTCTTCAGAGTGAGACGCATCTGAGCTCCCAGGGAAACAGTGGGAGTTCTGGAGTCCTTTGGTTCACGTTTCTGGTGGGTGAGCTTGACCTTCCCCCAGATTCACGGGGACAGGAGGTGGCCACTTAGTTACTCGTTGTTTTGGTAATTACCCGTCGCCCACACATCACCCCAGCTCTTGACATGAACCGAAAGCTTTTTCTGTGGACACTAAGCCCCGGGCATCCTCCTGCCTGGTGGAAAGCAGCTCCGTTCAGAGCCAGACACACTGGGTGCAGGTTCCCCGTCCCCCATGGCGTCTGGCCTCATGAGCCAGTCAGCAGCGTCCTGGAGCCTCGTCCTCCCCGTCCCTCTGTGGGGGGTGGCGGGAACATGAAGCACGGGCGTGCACAGACGGCCGTGGTGACCTCACGGTGTCCTTCCTTGTGCCCCACTGCACAGCCCTCCAACCCCAGAGAGGCCCTCTCCTCTGGAAAAGCAGAAGGGCACGAGAGCGCAGAGTGGCAGTGCGAATGACAGAGGCCGGGGTGATGCCGACCGGCAGTTTTGTCTCGAGTCCTGGTCTGAGGACAGCCCGGAGGAGTGCTCACAGCGGAAAAGCTTTCCTGTCGACAAGTAGGAGGGTGGTTTCAGTGCATCCTCCCCATTCCGTCAGGTAAACTGTGGTCTGACTTCAAGGCATCTTGGTCCCCATCCCCGGACCCGCCCTAGCCCAGCCTCCCCCGACCGGCCACCGCACTCCAACCTGGCCTCTGGCCTCCCCCTCGGCTCTGAGCGGGCCCCTGCCCCTGCCCGGTCCCCTCGTTTGGGGCCCTGCAGCTTGTGAAGTGTCCAAGTAAGGCTTTGCTTCTTATTGGCCATGCATGACTGAAATGTCGTGTTCATCGACCTGGGCAGCGAAGACAGGAGCCCAGAAACCACTCACCCAGGTGGCTGTCGGCCTGCCGGACGCGGGCTTCCCTTCACGGCTAACCGTGTGCTGCGTGGGGGCCGCGTCCCCGTCCCTGCAGGAACACGTCCTCATGAAGGTAACAGGGTACTCCATCCTGGAAGGCACAGGCCCGTCGTCCCCTTCGGACGCGATGTGCCCATTTTGTTGGGACAGGTGGTTTTTAAAGCCTGTAGGTAAGTGTGGGGAGGTCTTTTTAATGTTTGCAAAATGAAGTCTGGGCCAGGATGTGCGGCTTGACGGGCCCGGGGCACGGCCGCTCGGCCTGCTGGAAGAGCTCCCGGTGCCGCCTGCATCCCACCGCGGCCACCAGTGGCCCAGCTGGTGGCTCCCCTGCCTGGTCACCACCCCCTGGCCAGCCCCCGCTGGCTGCCCCCCCCCATCAAGTCAGCACTGCAGGTACTGAAGCACATTAGCTAATAGGCAAAACCCGCACAGATCCCACTAAAGCTGGTTTTGACACCCCGTGACGAGCGTGAAACGTGGCTATCCCTGTAGACTGCTTCGTCTTTGTTTTCCTGTCGGGGTGGCGGTGGGAGTGGGCGGAGGTTCCCTTACATCCCGAGGAAGCAGGCTGGGCCTGTATGTATGTGCATTCCCATTAGATACATTGTCAGTGTATCCCTTAATCGCTGTCATTGTTTATATTTTGTGTGGGGACAAAAATACCTCTTATCGTCTCACAAAATAAGTTTATAGTGGCTTCTAAACCAACAGATTATACAACTTTCAGAAAATTCAAAAGCAAGGGAAATGGTTAACAAAGAGAGTAGCATCATTTGAAATGTCTTGCCTCCTTTTAAAATATGGTTTAATTATAAATTTCTTTCTAAAGCATTTAAAATTATACATCAATTCCATACTTACTACAGAAGAAAACTAATGTTATAGATAAAATGAAATACAAATATAAAAGTCTCCCAGAATCCCATCATTCCCATACCATGACTGATGTTAGCATTTCTATGACTATCCTTGTAAAACCTTTGCTCCATAAGCATACACTCCCACAGACGCGTCCTTTGATGTTAACGTCACGTCCGTCTTTTCATGTCAATAAATGTGTACTGGGTCATGTCCTTAAATGTCTGCACAATGTCCCATTGGGTGGATAATGCCACAGTGCCTTTGTCCGGTCCCTCTGTACTGCCTGTGTAAGTTCATTCATTTATTCATTTACTCATTTATCTACTTGCTATTACGAAAATTGCCAGATAACCATTCTCACACATTTTTATAAGGTTTCCCATTTATGTTCATAAGAGAACATTCTGTAAGTTGAATCGGTGAGTCAGAGGGTACATTCTGGTTTTCTGCCCTCTAGCAGGTTCGTCCCAAGAGCCTACTTCCTTCTCTTTGACCGATACTGGGCAGAGCCTACTCTGTTTTTGAACTCAGGACATTATGCACACACCCAGAAGTCGGCAGAAGAAACAGTACAAGGGACATCCTCAGCCCTCCATGCCCAGCAGAGGTCAGCCCCCAGCCTGCTCTGCCTGCCTGCCCCTTCCCCACGCACTGACTGGAAGCAGGTCCCAGGTATCCATTCACCTGTAATAGTTTCCGTACAGCCTTCCCAGGGATGTTTAAAAAGCAGAGCCACACTATGATGGTTCCTCCTCAAACAGATTATGAAATCTCTAGTCTCTGGTTACATTTCTGCATGCTTTATCAATTTCATAAACGTTTGTTTCTATTTTGTCTGTTTTTTTTACGGCTTGTCTGAGTTGGGATCCAAATAAGGTCCACATGTCCGGCCGGTTGATGAGTTCTGTTTTTTCTGATCGAGGGTCTCCCTTCCTTTGTTCCCCCTTGGACTGTATGTTCAAGAAGCTGGTTTGTTTGTAGGGCTTGTGTTGAGATTTTGCTAATTGTGAGTCATGTTTTTACTTGCTCCTCTGACCTCTGTATCTCCTGCAAGTTGGTAGATGATCCCCAGGCTTGATCAGATATGAGTGGGGGAGGGATAGAGAGCGAGAGAGAGAGAGAAGGAGACACAGAATCTGAAGCTTAATCCAGGCTCTGAGCTGTCAGCACAGAGCCCGACTCAGGGCTCAAACCCACAAACTGCAAGATCATGACCTGAGCCAAAGTCAGACGCTTAACCGACTGAGCCACTCAGGCACCCCCCAGAATTTCTTTTTTGATCCTTGCCTTTCTGGTCTTTGTCCTGCTTTCCATTTAGTGGCCATGTGCCGCTTACTGTGAACTTCCCATCTTTGCCCATATTTTCTACCGGGACCCGTGTCTTATTTATTTTTAAGAATTCTTCATATACTAAGGCTAGTAGGTCTGTTTTTCTCTCATATATTACAAATACTTTTCCCACTTTATAATTTTTCAGTTTCTTTTCACTGATGCTTATGGTACCATTTGCTACATGGAAGACTTAATGGTCGTATCTGTCAGCCTCTTTTTCTCTGGTTTCTAGCCTGAGAGGCATTCAAGTGAGGCCTTCATTTCTCCCAAATTCTGTACATTATCTGAATTGATATGCAAATCATGCATCTACAGCTTTGCGTGACTCTCCTGTCATTGTAACATTTAAAACTTTGCTGTAGCTAAAAATTGGGGGGGGAGGGGGGTTGCGCAAAGAGTGATATGTCTACCTTGATTTCTTCCCCGACATTAACCATTTATTCTAACCACATTTGCCTCCACTGACTACAAATTCCATTTCTACTATGTGTGGGGTTGCTTGTGTGCTTTCTCTTGTTCTTTGATCTTTCTCATCTGCTGGCTGTGGCATCGTGTGCTTCGGGGGGGGGGGGGTGCGTGTGTGCGTGTGACTTTTGTTACTGAGACATAACACGTGCAGAAAGGTGACAAAGCCAGGGCCCAGGCCTGGGTCCCGTTCTCCTGGGCACGGGCTACTTCTCCGTCATCGCCTGTCATTTGTCGGAATGCTGCTGACTGTTCTTGTGTGCTTATTCGTCTAGATCGACTTCAGAATCATTTGGTCAGACTTCACAAACAAAAGCCACATGAGACATCAGTCGGATTTCTGCTGAATTTGCTATTAATTGCAGGATAAGCAGCCACTTTCCAGTATTGAGACTTCCGCTCAGAGACACGGCATTGTGCCGCGATCAACACTCTTGTGTGTGTACGTGCTTCCTTTTCTCCCTGTTCTTGGTTTTTGTCTTGTTAGCACAGGTCTTGTACTTTAAACTCAACCCTGGGTATCTTTTTTTTTCCCATTAAGTTTTCTCATTATAACTGTCTTAACAGATCATTTCCTGGAAACTGGCTGTTTAAAACTGAATAGTGCAGTTTTCTTCCCCCAAGTGCAATGGGAAAGAAACAGTGTACTGAGTGATCATTTGTAATAACCCAAAACCCTTTGGGGAAACAAGTACCCTCACTGTGCTAATAAGGACAGCGGCTGAGCAGGGCCCAGTCACCCACCCACGGCCAGACTGTGGTCCGAACGGGCCCCTTCAGACC